GGTTGGGACAGTTGCCATTTTTTTTTGTGTAACATGTATAATATATGCATTTTTGGCAGAAACTCTCTCGTTCATGTGGCTCCGCCCTACATGTTTTGTCACGACATCATCAGGGGCATTGAATCGTAATGACACAATCTGAGATAACCATCTGTAAAATGTAACTGCACATCCTGAGACAACTTAAAAACTTCTCTACTATTACTCCAGTACTGGGGTATTAATGTGAGGTGCGCTTACCCCCTTGTGGGGCATCTGGTGAAGGTGTCACATGTACATTTTGTATCACTTCATGGTGAAAGTGGGCAGTTTTCTGGATTTATTTTGGTTTCTTGATTTTTTGTTTTTAGCTATTCACATATATTTCTATTCATGTTAAATACGTGCAGTTTTATACATTTTTTTCACGTTCGTTTAGTGCAGCACATATTTATTTATTGTATCACATACACTGAGTGTGCTTGCAGCTGATAGCGTACACCATACCTGGAGTTCAGCTTTACCCCCCCTGGTCACATCAAGCCGACTTTGAAATCGTGCGACTTACAGTGAAGTCGCACAATTTCAAAGTCGGGTGACTTGCCGACTTCAGGTGCGATTTGCGAGACATCAGACACAGATTTCTATGCAAATCGCACCAAAAGTAGTGCATGTGCTACTTTAGAAATCGGTGCGGCTCTGAGCAAGTCGGAACCGAACCGATATGACCGCTGTAATTGCAGACAATAGGGTGCCACTTGGCTTGCAAGTCGCAGGGCATGCGAATTACATGCCACGTTGCCCCCAGTGCGACCGAGGGTGGTTAAGGCCATGCCACAGTGGTCATTTTGTAGCAGCTTTACAATAGCTCTTCTCGGTATTTGCGTTGCTGAGAAAGTTGATATCGGGTGGACTGATCATTTGGAAACTCGGGCACTGCCCGAGGGCCCGGGGTCAGTAGGGGGCCCCATGAGATGCCCCTGGTACCTTTTTCATAGGCTTTTTTGAGTTTGGGCAAGGACACAGGGGCCCCATGATCCCCTATTGCCCGGGGGCCCCATGAGTTGTCAGTCCGCCCCTGGTTGATATTAAAGTTTTTCAAGAATTCCATGTGATCTGTCGCTCCATCCATGAGCGGCTGACACTTTGCAGCGTTCGGAGCCAGCTGTAGAATCACCAAGTTCAGCAGCTACGCATGTCATCCAATGCAGCTTCTGATGACAACGGCACAGATCTGTAGCTGCACACATCAGCATTGTAGTCAGGTACAGCAAGAACTCTGCATCCAGCTACAGCTCACCAGAGAAAACGAGAACACAGAGCTGTAGCTGCTTTATGTCTCTGCTGCAAAGTCGCTAGCGCACCATGGCCCTTAGTTAGTCAGTTGTAATTACAGTTTACATTTATTTATATCAATATACAGTAATGTTTTCTCGCTGCATACTATATCACCCAAATCAGTTACAAAGTAAACTTTAAGAACTTAAAGCGGTATTAAACTCAAAACCAACAATGTGATATATTGCAACTTACAATCATTAGACGTGGTGGCTGCATTTGTTTTATTTTTTGAAGGCTTTCTTCTGTCTGTTTTCACCTGGCCAGTAACACCTCCTGTATTAGAGTGCCCCCTATCTGGATGAAGGAGCAACAGAGACACCTCTGCACAGCAGGATTGTCTGCCTGGGGAGAAGGGAAGTGATGTACTAACAGATTTTTAAATACACTAACAAATTAAAGCCAAACTCCAGCACATACTTAATAGGCGGTTACAGCAAACAATGAAAACTGATCATTGTAAAGCACCCCTGTCAGTGGTGAATGGTTTGTCTCATACCCCTAATGCAGGCCATAGATGGGTCGTTTATCAGCCGAATTTTAGTCCGCACGAAAAATTGGCTGATATTCACGCCGTTAGTGGGGCCAGCCTGTCGGCCGTTTTTTTCGCGGATCTTCTCGTTTAGTTTTATCAGTCATGCTAGAAAATCTGCGAAAAATGGTCGTTTTTCGTGGACATGGATGGCAGCATCGGCAACGGGGCCGAAAATTTGGCTGATAAATGGCCCGTCTGTGGCCTGCCTTACTGTTACATCTGCAGGAGAACTTGTTCGACTGAAAATCAACAGACTTACAGGCTGGATCCCCAGATACCAATAAAGGAAAGAAAGCCTAAAAAAAGAAAAACTAATGCAACCGCCACATCTAAGAATTGGTATGCTGTGATAGAATACAATTTTGCTTTGGGATTTAATACTGCTTTAAAGCTTGAAACAGCAGCAGATTCCTCCTTCTGTCAATCACACTGGGACTAATCATCTGTGTGAAGTCTTATGGGGTGGAGCCTTATGGGGCCGTACTCGGATAAACATACGCATGGTGCATTATGGGGCTGTACTCGGATAAACATACGCATGGTGCATTATGGGGCCGTACTCGGATAAACATACGCATGGTGCATTATGGGGCCGTACTCGGATAAACATACGCATGGTGCATTATGGGTCCATAAATATTGGGACATGGACACAATTCTAACATTTTTGGCTCTATACACCACCACAATGGATTTGAAATGAAACGAACAAGATGTGCTTTAACTGAAGACTGTCAGCTTTAATTTGAGGGTATTTACATCCAAATCAGGTGAACGGTGTAGGAATTACAACAGTTTGCATATGTGCCTCCCACTTGTTAAGGGACCAAAAGTAATGGGATAATTGGCTTCTCAGCTGTTCCATGGCCAGGTGTGTGTTATTCCCTCATTATCCCAATTACAATGAGCAGATAAAAGGTCCAGAGTTCATTTCAAGTGTGCTATTTGCATTTGGAATCTGTTGCTGTCAACTCACACCGGTGAGCTCAGCAACACCAAAAGACCCGGAAGACCACGGAAAACAACTGTGGTGGATGACCAAAGAATTCTTTCCCTGGTGAAGAAAACACCCTTCACAACAGTTGGCCAGATCAAGAACACTCTCCAGGTGGTAGGTGTATGTGTGTCAAAGTCACCAATCAAGAGAAGACTTGATTAGATGCCAAACGACATCTAACAAAAGCCTTCACAGTTCTGGAACAACATCCTATGGACAGATGAGACCGACATCAACTTGTACCAGAGGGATGGGAAGAGAAGAGTATGGAGAAGGAACTGCTCATGATCCTAAGCATACCACCTCATCAGTGAAGCATGGTGGTGGTAGTGTCATGGCGTGGGCATGTATGGCTGCCAATGGAACTGCTTCTCTTGTATTTATTGATGATGTGACTGCTGACAAAAGCAGCCGGATGAATTCTGAAGTGTTTCGGGAATATTATCTGCTCATATTCAGCCAAATGCTTCACAACTCATTGGACGCTTCACAGTGCAGATGGACAATGACCCAAAGCAGACTGCAAAAGCAACCAAAGAGTTTTTTAAGGGAAAGAAGTGGAATGTTCTGCAATGGCCAAGTCAATCACCTGACCTGAATCCGATTGAGCATTTCACTTGCTGAAGACAAAACTGAAGGGAAAATGCCCCAAGAACAAGCAGGAACTGAAGACGGTTGCAGTAGAGGCCTGGCAGAGCATCACCAGGGATGAAACCCAGCGTCTGGTGATGTCTATGCGTTACAGACTTCAGGCTGTAATTAACTGCAAAGGATTTGCAACCAAGTATTAAAAAGTGAAGGTTTGATTTATGATTATTATTCTGTCCCATTACTTTTGGTCCCTTAAGAAGTGGGAGGCACATATGCAAACTGTTGTAATTCCTACACCGTTCACCTGATTTGGATGTAAATACCCTCAAATTAAAGCCGACAGTCTGCAGTTAAAGCACATCTTGTTCATTTCATTTCAAATCCATTGTGGTGGTGTATAGAGCCAAAAATGTTAGAATTGTGTCCATGTCCCAATATTTATGGACCTGACTGTACATACGCATGGCGCATTATGAGCTGTACTCGGATATACATACGCATGGCGCATTACGGGGCCGTACTCGGATACGCACACGCATGGCGCGTTACGGGGCCGTACTCGGATACGCACACGCATGGCGCGTTACGGGGCCGTACTCGGATACACACACGCATGGCGCGTTACGGGGCCGTACTCGGATACACACACGCATGGCGCGTTACGGGGCCGTACTCGGATAAACACACGCATGGCGCGTTACGGGGCCGTACTCGGATACACACACGCATGGCGTGTTACGGGGCCGCACTCGGATAGACACACGCATGGCGCGTTACGGGGCCGTACTGGATAAACATATGCATGGCGCGTTACGGGGCCGTACTGGATAAACACATGCATGGCGCGTTACGGGGCCGTACTGGATAAACACACGCATGGCGCGTTACGGGGCCGCACTCGGATAAACACACGCATGACGCGTTACGGGGCCGCACTCGGATAAACACACGCATGGCGCGTTACGGGGCCGTACTCGGATAAACACACGCATGGCGCATCCTCCCTTTTAGTATACAGCAGAGAAAGGTTTTTATGTTTTGTCGGTTTAACATCTGTCAGGTCAAGAAATGATGGAATTGTCTTCAATGGGGACACATTTTGTACCAGGGTGAGAAAAGGTGAGTCTGTGACTTCCTGTGACAGTGGCAACCACAAGGATGTCACCTGAACAGAATGTGAAGATAAATCTCCCCAAGGGTGTCACAGGCAGAAATAAGAACGTGACACGATGATAAGCCTTTGTATCCACAGCTAAATAATGGCTGCAGTTGGATTATTGTTTGAAGACAGCAGCTATCATTCCATGCACAGGGTGACGGCCATTTTTTTGAAGCCCCGACCGACCCCTCCAATGGCGGAGATAGACCGGTTTCACATTCGGTGACGTACTTCCTGCGCGCCCTGAGCTCTCCGTCACCGACGAGCGCCGGGTTTCAGTTTCGGTGCTTTAGCTGTCATAGAGCGGAGGCTCCATCTCCGGCCTCCAGACCGACCAACCCGGCACCGTGCTCCCCTGCCTGGTGCTGCCCGGGCCCTGGCTCCGCGGCCCTGCTTCCAGCATGTCCCGGGACCCCGAGGAGGCGTGGAGTCCCGAGTATGACTCCACCTGGGACGATGAGGAGGAGGAGAAGACTCGGGGCCACAAAGAGCCAGGGAGCCGGGGACAGGTGCGGGAGATGGGGGGCAGGGACACCGAGCATCAGAAGAGATGTAAGGTGTTAAATGGGGGGGGACAGGAATTGGGGGGGATGAGGAGGATGAGGGGGAGGCAGGAATTGGGGGATGAGGGGGAGGAGGGAGGGGCAGGAATTGGGGGGATGAGGAGGAGGGGAGGCAGGAATTGGTGGGATGGGGAGGATGGGAGGCAGGAATTGGAAGGAGGAGGCAGGAATTGGGGGGAGGGGGTGCAGGAATTGGAAGGAGGAGGCAGGAATTGGGGGGATGGGGAGAAGGGGGGGACAGGAATTGGAAGGAGGAGGCAGGAATTGGGGGGGGGGGGGAGGGGGGGGGGGGGGCAGGAATTGGAGGGATGGAGAGGAGTTTGCAGGGATAGGGAGGAGGGAGCAGGAATTAAGGGGATGGGGAGGAGGGGGGCAGGAATCGGGGGGGGGGGGGGGGGGGCTGGGTGGAGTGGAGGGGGGGGGGCAGGAATTGGGGGGTGGGGAGGAGGGGGCAGGCTTTGGAATTGAGAGGTGGGAAGAGAAGTAAGAATGGGGGAATACAGAAATTGAGGAGAAGAATAGAGGGTTTGCAGGAGATGGGCACAGGAGGGATAAAGGAACCCAGAAGAGACAGAGGAACCCGGGGAGAGGAGGAGGGATGGATGAATGAATATGGAGAGATGACACAGAAGAGGACTCGAGCAACTGGTGATGGATGGATGAATTGGTGAGAGGAGGAGAAGGACAGGAATTGAGAAGATATGGAGAGGAGGAGGGATTGAGATGAAGAGGGAAGGAGAAATTGGTGAGAGATGGAGTGGAATGATGGAGCAGTTGGGGAGCAATGAGTGGATTAGAGAGGGATGGAAAGGAAGAGGAATTGAGAAATTGGGGGAAAAATGCATGAGTTGGGGAGAGATGGAGGAAAGGTATGGAGCTACTGGGGAGAGATGAAGAGGAGCAGAGATGGAGGAATGTGGAGAGATGGAGGAACTGGGAGGAGATGGAAAGGACGAGGGATGGATACATTTGGGAGAGGACGAGAAGGAGCGGGATGGATGATAGAGAGGAGGAGGGATAGAGGAATTGGGGAGGGAATATGATGAATAGGGATGGACGAATTGGGGAGAGGAGGAGGGATGAGAAAGTTTAGGAGGGATGGAGGTATGGAGTTGACAAGGGATGGAGGTGTTGGGGAGATTTGGAGAGGAGGAAGAATGGAGAAATTGGGAAGGAATGGATGAATTGTTAAGAGATGGAGGAATTAGAAAAAGATAGAGAAGGAGAGGGGTGAAGAAATTTGAGAGAAAGGTGGAGGGGGGAATGGAGGAATTGAGGCGAGGTGGAGATGGGATGGAAGAATTTGAAAGAGATGGAGAGGATGAGGGATGGAGGAATTGGGGAGGGATGTAGATAAAGAAGTTGATGAGAGATGGAGAGGAGAAGTGATGGAGGAATTGGAGAGTGGAGCAGGAATGGAGGAATTGGAGAGTGGAGCAGGGATGGACGTTTTGGGGAGAGGAGCAGGGATGGAGGAATTTGGAGAGATGGCAAGGAAAAGGAAATGAGCAATTGGTGTGGGATGGAGGCATTGGGGGAGAGCAGAAGTGATGGAGGAGTTTAGGAGAGATGGCAATGAAGAGGGATGGAGGATTTGCTGAGAGATGGCATAATTGAGCATTTGGTGAGGGATGGAGGAATTGGAGAGATATGAAGTGTGGGAGGGATGAAGGAATGGGGGAATGATGGAGCAGTTGAGGTGCAATGAGCGGATTGGAGAGAGATGGAAAGGAAGAAGCATTGAGAAATTTTGGGAAGGATGGATGAGTTGGGCAGAGATGGAGGAAAGGTATGGAGCTATTGGAGAGAGATTAAGAGGAGGAGGAGGGATGGAGTAAATGTAGAGAGATGGAGGAGATGGAAAGGAGGAAGGATGGATGGATGAGTTTGGGAGAGGACGAGGAGGAGAGGGATGGATGATGAAGGAATTGACACAAGAAGGAGGAATTAGGGAGGGATTGAGATGAAGTGGGATAGAGAAGTGGGGGAGGAGGAGGAGGGATGGAGGAATTGGTGAGGGATGGAGGGAGAGGCGGAGAGATGGAAGACTTGGGGGGGAGGCAGAATGGAGGAATTGAGAGGAGGTGGAGAAGGAGGTGAGGAAGGAGGAAAGGAATGGAGGAAAATTGGGAGAGATTGACAGGAGGTGAGATGGAGGAAAAGGGGGTGGGGGATGAAGGAATTGGGGGGGGATGGATGAATGTGGAGAGATGGCAATGATAAGGGATGAAGGAATTGTGGAGAGGGAAAGGAGGAGGGATGACAGAGTTGAGAGATGGAGAAATTGGGGAATGATGGGGAGATTGGCGAGGGATGGAAAGGAGGAGGGATGGATTATCTGGGAGATGGGAGAGATGGAGTAATTGGGAGATGGGTGGAACAGTTGGGGAGGGATGGTACAATCGGGGAAGGATGAAGCAATCTGGCATAGATAGGAGGAGTGATGGATAAATTAGGAAGAGACGGGGAGGAGGGATGCAGGTGGGGAAATGGGGAAGGAAGGATGCAGGAATGCGGTAGAGATTGAAAGCTGGGTTGCAGAATAGGGGAGAGATGGAAAAGAGAGACGAAGAGGGAATGATGCATGAGAGGGAGGAGGTGGTTCTGGGAAAGTGAAGAGATAGAGGAGGAGGGGTGCAGGAGAGGGAAGCTATGAAGAGGAGGGGTGCAGGAGAGGGAAGAGATGAAGAGGAAGGGTGCAGGATAGGGAAGCTACGAAGAGGAGGGGTGCAGGAGAGGGAAGCTATGAAGAGGAGGGGTGCAGGAGAGGGAAGCTACGAAGAGGAGGGGTGCAGGAGAGGGAAGCTACGAAGAGGAGGGGTGCAGGAGAGGGAAGCTACGAAGAGGAGGGGTGCAGGAGAGGGAAGCTACGAAGAGGAGGGGTGCAGGAGAGGGAGGAGGTTGTGGGAAAGTGAAGCGATAAAGAGGAGGGGTGCAGGAGAGGGAAGAGATGAAGAGGAAGGATGCAGGATAGGGAAGCTACGAAGAGGAGGGGTGCAGGAGAGGGAAGCTACGAAGAGGAGGGGTGCAGGAGAGGGAAGCTACGAAGAGGAGGGATGCAGGAGAGGGAAGCTACGAAGAGGGAGGGATGCAGGAGGGAGAGGGAAAGCTATAAAGAGGAGGGGTGCAGGAGAGGAGGAGCTATGAAGAGGAGGGGTGCAGGAGAGGGAAGCTACGAAGAGGAGGGGTGCAGGAGAGGGAAGCTACGAAGAGGAGGGGTGCAGGAGAGGGAAGCTACGAAGAGGAGGGGTGCAGGAGAGGGAAGCTACGAAGAGGAGGGGTGCAGGAGAGGGAAGCTACGAAGAGGAGGGGTGCAGGAGAGGGAAGCTACGAAGAGGAGGGGTGCAGGAGAGGGAAGCTACGAAGAGGAGGGGTGCAGGAGAGGGAAGCTACGAAGAGGAGGGATGCAGGAGAGGGAAGCTACGAAGAGGAGGACTGCAGGAGAGGGAAGCTACGAAGAGGAGGAGTGCAGGAGAGGGAAGCTAGGAAGAGTAAGGGTGCAGGAGAGGGAAGCTATGAAGAGGAGGGGTGCGGGAGAGGGAAGCTGTGAAGAGGAGGGGTGCAGGAGAGGGAAGCTAGGAAGAGGAAGGGTGCGGGAGAGGGAAGCTAGAAGAGGAAGGGTGCGGGAGAGGGAAGGAAGAGGAAGGGTTTGAAGGGAAGCTATGAAGAGGGGTGTGCGGGAGAGGGAAGCTTTGAAGAGGAGGGGTGCGGGAGAGGGAAGCTAGGAAGAGTAAGGGTGCAGGAGAGGGAAGCTACGAAGAGGAGGGATGAGGGAGAGGGAAGCTACGAAGAGGAGGGATGAGGGAGAGGGAAGCTACGAAGAGGAGGGATGAGAGGAGAGGGAAGCTACGAAGAGGAGGGGTGCGGGAGAGGGAAGCTACGAAGAGGAGGACTGCAGGAGAGGGAAGCTACGAAGAGGAGGACTGCAGGAGAGGGAAGCTACGAAGAGGAGGAGTGCAGGAGAGGGAGGGAAGCTAGGAAGAGGAAGAGTAAGGGTGCAGGAGAGGGAAGCTAGGAAGAGTAAGGGTGAGGAGAGGGAAGCTACGAAGAGGAGGGATGATGAGGAGAGGGAAGCTACGAAGAGGAGGGATGAGGGAGAGGGAAGCTACGAAGAGGAGCTACGAAGGGTGAGGGAGAGGGAAGCTACGAAGAGGAGGGGTGCAGGAGAGGGAAGCTGGAAGAGTAAGGGTGCAGGAGAGGGAAGCTACGAAGAGTAGGGGTGCAGGAGAGGGAAGGGGTGCAGGAGGGAGGAAGCTAGAAGAGAGGGGTGGAGAGGGAAGCTACGAAGAGAGCAGGAGAGGGAAGCTACGAAGAGGAGGGATGAGGGAGAGAGGGAGAGGGAAGCTACGAAGAGGAGGGAAGTGAGGGGTGGGAGAGGGAAGCTGTGAAGAGGAGGGGTGCGAAGAGGAGGGGTGGGAGAGGGAAGCTGTGAAGAGGAGGGGTGCGGGAGAGGGAAGCTGTGAAGAGGGAGGAAGAGGGGGTGCGGGAGAGGGAAGCTGTGAAGAGGAGGGGTGCGGGAGAGGGAAGCTGTGAAAGAGGACGAAGAGGAGGGGTGCGGGAGAGGGAAGCTACGAAGAGGAGGGGTGCGGGAGAGGGAAGCTACGAAGAGGAGGGATGAGTGAAAATGGAAAGACACGAAGAGGAGGGAGACAGAGAGAAGGGGATATAGGGAATGGAGAGGAGGGTTGCAGAAGGTGGAAATAAGAAATCAGGAAGGGGGAGGGGGGGGGTATAGTAATTGGGAAGAGATGGGTGCAGGAGATGGGCATGATGAGAGCGAGGGATGCAGGAAATGGAGAGGAGGGTGGCAAGAGGTGGAAATAAGAATTAAAGAGGGGGGGTGCAGTAATTGGGGTGCGATGAAGAGGAAGGATGCAGGCTTGGGGATATATTTGATGGGGGTGTGCAAAAGAGGGATAAGAGGAGCACAGGATGGATGGATGGATGGATTGATGGGGAAAGGATCAACAGGTGTCCTAGAGAGGATAACATGCAGATCAGGGATACAGTAAAAGGGAGAGGATTTTGAATGAAGGGATGAAAAGGGAAGAGATTAAGAGAAGATGGAGAAGTTTGCACGAGAGGGAGAAATGGAGAGAGAGAAAGCAGGATGGGGATGATGCTGACGGGGATGATGCTGACCCTTCCTGTAAATGCTGATTGCCAGGCTGACCCCCTTTCCTCAATACGTTGAATCCTGGACTGAACGAATGTATGCAGATAAAAGAACCTCTGATCATATCTGCATACGTGTTCCAGGGGCAGTTATTGAAACCAGAGGATCTGCATGATGACAAGGCAACTAACATTTTTAGAGCTCAGCAGCGGCATGTTATTTATAACAGGTGTACTTTGAGAACCTCGTTGTGTACACTCACAAGCTTTGCGACAGGTCTTACACAGTGATTGCGCTGTCCTGCTCTTCTTTATCTCACTGACTGAGGACAATGCACTCTCCATGAGTTCTGACAGGGAAGCTAATGACGTAAAGTTCACATGGCCTCTATGAAGGGCTTCTCCATAGACAGTACAGTCCTGACAATATGGTCCTGCGTACAGAATAATTTTTTTTTTTTATAAACTTTAAAATATTGCAAGATATGCGATCACTAATATGATTGTTCTTTATTTCCATTACAGCCTAATAATTGTCGAAATAGGGCGACCAGAGCCGCCAGGGACCTGCAGAACTACAGACACGGCTATGTAACTGACAAGCGCTATCACTGCTACTTGGTGAGTCTCTGGCTGCAGTCTATTTGCTGATCTTTGTTCTAATGGCAGACAGTTGTTTGGTCACCGTCAGGCTTTAGTGGATGTCATTCGCCAGCTGGGTGAAGTAATTTGAGTGTGTTGGGATTTCCTTTGCGATGGGCCATTGCTCCCTTGGAGCTACTTCGGGCGCAGAATCATTCAGTCCACTTCCTGTGAGCCCAGGTTGGTCTGAGCAAACCTCTATTAAATCACAGTGCTCTTTAACTGAATTGTCAATACATAAGCGCTGCTTTGTCCAGAATGAAGGACTGCTCACTGCCTTCGCTGAAGGAGGGAGGACCTGCGACATCATAAAAAAACTGAGGGAACCTAAGGGCTTGTTCATACATGTCCAAATATCCAATATCCAAATTATATCACCAGCCTTGTCTCCAATATCACCCAAATTGTCCTCTCTGCTCCTCCCTGACATCCTGCTCTCTAGCTCCCTTGTCTCCTCCTCCCATGCTCATCTCCAGGACTTCTCCAGAGCCTCCCTCATCCTCTGGAACTCTCTACCCAATCTATCCAACTATTGCCCACTCTGTCCACTTTTATGCGATCTCTTAAAACCTATCTCTTCAAGGAAGCCTATCCTGCCTTCAGATAAAAACTAAATCTATTTCTATCTCTTAGATTGTAAGCTCCAAGGATCAGGGCCCTCCTACCCCTCTTGTATTGAACTGTATTGTTGTTGCTGTATTGTTTCCCTTTATACTGTAAAGCGCTGAGCAAACTGTTGGCGCTATATAAATCCTGAAGAATAATAATGCTCCCCCCCCCCCCCCCCAAAGTGATGCTTAAGGTTCCTTTTTTTAAAATTTTTTTTGTAAAATAACAAACATGTCTATACTTACCTCCTGTGTGCAATGGTTTTGCTCAGAGCAGCCTGGATCCTCCTCCTCTCAGGACCCCCGCCAGCTCTCCTGGCTCCTCCTTTCTGTCAGCTGCCCCCATAGCAAGCGGCTATGGGGGCACGCACTGAGCGTCCATTCACACACGAAGCCGCGGCTTGCCCCCCCTCTCCTCATTGGCTGACTGGCTGTGATTGACAGTAGCAGGAGCCAATGGCTCCCCCTTGCTGTCTCAGCCAATGAGGAGGCAGAGACCCGGGACAGCCAAGCCTATCGTGCACATCGCTGGATCTCGATGGGGCTCAGATAAGTATCGAGGGGGCACTGCTGCACACAGTTTTTTTTTTTTTTTTCTTCATGCATAGAATGCATGAAGGTAAAAAAACCTTGAGCCTTTACAACCACTCTAAAATACAATCTGTGGTGGATCTCTTTTCAGAATATGAAGATTCACCTGAAAATGCCAATTCACCTGAATGGGTCATATTCGGTCGGTGGTACAGCCTGCCCAATGTGACATGCTGTTTCATTTTTGCTGCAAAGCATCGCAGTCACAGCATGGGTACAGTCCTGACCGTTTGCATGATCTAGTTCAGGTGGGTGTGGACTGACCATTTGGAAACTCGGGCACTGCCCGAGGGCCCGGGGTCAGTAGGGGGCCCCATGAGATGCCCCTGGTACCTTTTTCATAGGCTTTTTTTGAGTTTGGGCAAGGACACAGGGGCCCCTTGATCCCCTATTGCCCGGGGGCCCCATGAGTTGTCAGTCCGCCTCTGGGTGGGTGGTTGGGGAGCAGTCAAACCACGGCTCGCCTGCCGCCTAGCCACCTGTGTGAACAGTTCTAACATAGGGATGGGGGATGGAAAAAGATAAACTAGAGCTCCTCTTTAATCTCAGTTTTTAGCTTTGTTTGGCAGAATTTTCTTTTTTAAAGTTTTTTTTTTTTTTAATCTTTTTTTTTTTTTTTTTTTTTTTTTTTTAATTTTCCTTCCCAGAGTTCGCATCCGGAAACCCCTAATCCCAACGTGGACTTCTATAAGGGCAATATACGTTTTGAGCCTGATGGTAAGTATGTGCTGGCTGTATGTTGGTCTCTTGTGTGAAAAGCTACAAAATAAAAAAAAAACTGTAGTAGTTTGTTACTTGAAGATGACGCATCTGTCTGTCATTGGTTCTGGATAGAGCAGGGAATGGTGAAAGTGGTATTAAGCCCCAAACCAAAAATGTAAGATATTGCAGCTTACCAATCTTCCGATGTGGCGGCTGCTTTAGTTTTTTTTTTTTTTTTTTTAAGGCTTTTTTCCCCTTATTTTCACCTGGTGATCTGGCCAGTAACACGCTTCCTGTATTAGAGCGCCCCCACTCTGGATGAAGGAGCAGCAGAGACACCTTTGGATAGCAGCTTTGTCAGTTTGTGGGGAGGGGAGTGTTTGACATGCTAGCAGATTTACGCTAACAAATTGAAACCAAACTCCAGCTATTACTTTACCAACAGCTATAGCAAACATTTTTTTTTTTGGGATACAGATTTTACATAAATAAACAAAAGGCTGATCATTGCAAGCACCCCTGCTAGTGTTAAAATGGCTTGTCTCATCTCTGATACATTCTGCTGGAGAGCTTATTCTTTTGAAAAACAGACTTACTGGCTGGATCACCTGATGAAAATAGAAGAAAGCAAGCTTTAAGCAAAGTACCAGTGAAACTGTAAAAAAAATAAGTCAGCAGTTATAAAAACTGTAGATGCTGACTTTTAAAAAACAGCCGCTTACCTGTCCCTCGTTCCCGCAGTGTCCTCCCCACAGCCCATTTCACTGGCCACCCTGTGTTCCAGGTATCTTCAGTGTGGGCACCCGGCTGTGACAGCTTCCAGCTTCACAGCCATGTGCCCACTGCACATGCGCGAGTAGCGCTGCTCTTTCTGAATGGTCCCGTAATCTTCTGGGACCTGTCACGTGTCCCAGAAGACTATGGAGAGGGAGGGGGGACAACTTCCTCGCAGTGGGAGCAGGGAGCCTGTCAATTTCGGGCGCTTACTTCAAACCCCCCTGCTCCCAAAAGGTGCTAGTCTTTAACGGGGAGCGGGGGACCAGTCCTTAAAGAGTAACTTGGGTGGAGCTTTGCTTTAAGAATTAAAACGGATGCAGCCATCTCTTCAAATGGTAAGCTGCAATGTAATAAACGTTGGCTTTTGGGTTTAATACCACTTTAAAACACATTCCACTCCTCTTCTTTTTTTTTTTTTTCTTGACAGTACTGCTACCTTCTTATCCTTGTAGTACCATCTTCCACTCTCAAGCTTACATTACCAGCACTCTCCCAAAGATCGGGTGCAGCTTCACAGCCTGTTGCCCACTGCGCATGCGCAAGTCACGCTGCGCCTCCTAATTGGTCCGGCAGTACCCTGAGACCTGTAAAAGTTCCCAGGAGACTGCGGGAGGGAGGAGGGGGCTGAAATTCCATCTCGCTTCGCCGCGGCGAACTGAGCTGTAAGTGGGAGCGGGTACCTGTCAAAACCAAGTACCCTCTTCCCCATCCCCCCCCCCCCCAAAATACGGCAGTGGAGGGGGGAAGGAGGCATACAAGCGCAGCTTTCGCTTTAACTCTGCTTTAAATGATCATCGTGGGACCACATGCTTTGGCATTGGTCACATGATCTCAGCTAAAGAAAGTAACTGTATGAGAGTTTCATCTTTGGTGTAGCTTTGTGGGAGAGGATAGAGATTTGATCTACTAAGGAGATCTCTAATAATTTGTGTTTCTGGGAATTGTATGAAGCCTGACATCTGGGATGGAGTTGATTCTTCATTTTGTTTGGCCGATTTAATCTGTTCTCTGTGTCCTGTGCAGGGCTGCTCATAAAGGACTTGTTAAAGGAATGGAATAAAAAGTATGACATCCTGGAGAGGAACCATTGCTATATCCAATGGTATGTACACCAAACGTGGAGAGATCCTTTAAAGCGGTGGTAAACCGCAGACAAGTCCCCGCCAGGTGATGTCAGAATGTGCACATTATGTAAAACTTGCCATAAAAGGAAGCCCTCCTGTCACCGCTGTAGAGGTTTCCATCTTCACCCGTCTTCCTTCCGGGTTCATGAGCTCCAGCATTCTGACAGGCCGGGCTGCAGTGACGTCACTCCCGTGCATGAGCCGGGAGTCCCGGCCACGGCACACAGCTCTGAAGGAACAGCACGGGTATGCCGTTCCTTCAGAGCGCAGGCACTGGATTAAATCCACAGATAGAGTACAGTGAGTCTTGTCACCGTAGATGAGAAAGGGGGTTACTGGCGGGGTCAGTAAGTGAGAATAAAGAAAAAAATAATCCTGGAAAAAGAAAAGTAATGCAGCCACCTCAACAAATCACAGGTAATCTGCAATATATTTTATTTTGGGATTTAGATGCGCATTGACCGCTTGAAGACAAGACTGTTACTCCCCTGTCCAGACCATTTTTCAGTGCTTTCACGCTTTGGGTTCAGTTTTGCATGACTGAGTAATTATCATTCAAATACATTTTATATCATTTTTTGAGACCGCTTTCTTTTGGAGGTGTTTTCTCACTACTCTGGATTTTTAACTTTTTACCATAAAAAGGAAAAAAGACTGAAAATATGGGGGGGGAAGCCCTTCTTAGTTTCTGTTATAAAACTTTGTAAATAAATAATCTTTCTTCGTACATTTAGGCCAAATGTATTCTGTTGCATTTCCTTGCTAAAAAGATTATATAACTAAAAAAGTGTATATTATTTAGTCTGTAGGAAAGTTAGTCTACAAACTCTGGTGTGTGTGTGCGTGTGTGTGTGTGTGTCAGCCGATCTCATTTCTTGAGGCCCCAAAATGTCAAATTACCCCTTTTTGGAAAGTAAACAGACCGAGGTATTTAGAGGCAGTTTTTTGAAGGTATAATTTTTTGTCACAATTTTTGGAAAGTGAAAACATTTTAATTTTTTTTTCACAAAGTTGTCATTTTAACAAGTTATTTCTCATACACAACATAGGCATACTTACAGTTACTGTACACCCCAAAACACATTCTGCTACTACTCCTGAGTATGCGGATACCACATGTACGAGACCTCTTTCACAGCCTAGATGCATAGGGGGCCCAAAATCTGAGGAGCACCTTCAGTCCTTCTAGGGCATAAATCACGAAATCACTATTCAGAGAGCACCACACACGTGAACAAGGCTTTATGGTGGTCTGGTGACATTGTACTGCTGTGATCAGAGACAATGGCTGGTTGCACTGACATACAGTGATGTCTGAGCAGCCAGCAGTTGTATGTGATCACTGCCACAGCATTACAATGTCACCATAGTGACACTGTACTGCTCGGGTGGTTGTGTTTTTTGTTTTGTTTATACTCTGAGGGCTTACTACAGTCCCAATGGCTGTAGTAAGAACTCGGCATTATGCAGCCCTTGTTTCAAAGTGGGACCGCTACGATTGGTCATAGCATTTGCATGATACAGGGTCAATTTTACTGGGGGGACAAAGTGATCACAGGGCATGCCAAGGCCGATGCAGGAGACCGTTTATATACGCCCTCCTGCATTGCCAAAGCTCTTATCTGGCCATTTATGTACACCTGTCAGGTTTTTTTCCTCTGGAGGAGAAATACCTTTACTTCCTGTCCCAATCACAACAGGAAATCTCTTCCAAATAAGGTACATTCCTTTATAAGTCAGTTCTCTCCAGACCAAATGTCCACATTGAATGATTTGTCCTAGTGTCATTTTTCATATTACTATGTATGTGTTTTATTTGCAGGCTATTTCCTCTGCGGGAATATGGTATGAACTCTTGTGCCAAACCACTGACAAAGACTGAAATGGAGGTAGAGAACTTCCTTTAGTGTTAAACTCTGCATGATTGTTGGAGTAAATATCTTCAGTGTCTAGTGGCAGGCAGAAGAAAAGTACTGCACAAAATTTTGTGTTTAAATAACTTGTGTGGTATTTATCAGAGAAATGATCAATTCACTAAAAACAGCATTATTTTTATTATAATATTTCAGTATTTAATGCATTTTATAACTTATGTTATTGCAGACGGGACTGCAGGGAAAGACAGTGCAGCATTTATACTGTCACTGCTAAATGTGACAGCCCCTGCTCAGGGCTATTGGTTGTCAGGGAGCCAGCTGCCGCCAGCATCCTAACAACCAGTGACTTATCATACCTTTAAATGTTGCACTCCTTAACACAATATCAAAATATTATATCCTTCCTATAATGTGACACCCCTTAAATTTGTAATACGGGATCAATATTCATAAGTGACCAGGTTATATAAAAAATATATTATAACATCAAACCAATTTTATATATATATATAATAATAGTCCTATCAATCAAATATAGTCCAATATTTGTGACAAAGTGATTATCAATCTTTGGCACAAATATTGGACTATATTTGATTGATGGGACTATTATTATATAAAAAAATATATTATAACATCAAACCATTTTTTTATATATATAATAATAGTCCCATCAGTCAAATATAGTCCAATATTTGTGACAAAGATTGATAATCACTTTGTCACAAATATTGGACTATATTTGATTGATGGGATTATTATTATATATATATATATATATATATATATATATATATATATATATATATATATATATATATATATATATATATATATATATATATATATATATATATATATATATAAAATTGGTTTGATGTTATAATATATTTTTTATATAACCTGGTCACTTATGAATATTGATCCCGTATTACAAATTTAAGGGGTGTCACATTATAGGAAGGATATAATATTTTGATATTGTGTTATTAAGGAGCGCAACATTTAAAGGTATATTATTTTATATGCACAGTTGAAGCTATGTGTTTAATGTTGCTGATCTATTTGAAATAATTAAGTTTGGCTCGCAAGTCACACAAACATATATTTTAACCAGTGACTTATCCCCATCTGGCTCATTCATCTGTCAACCATGGATTCCTGGCTGACAGGTGAATGTGAACAAAGTGGGAGGACATTGTGGGGGGGAAAAAAAAAAAAGAGCCACAAATTCATACTGAACCCTTGAGGTCTAATGTGAATTTTAATGGGGACCCCAAACAGCATGTGGTTCCCCCAAATTCTATACCAGACTCTGGTGTGGATTTTAAAGGGATTCTCCATGAAAAAAATCAGGAGGAAAAAAAGTAAGCATGTTAGGGAAGGGATTGGGGGTAGACAGGCAGGCCAGGAAAGGGAGATGAGCTGACTGTGCATTCTTCCCCTCTGAACCATACTAGGCTACATGCTGTTAACATGGGGAGGGAGTTGGGCCCTTGCCAGGGGTCATGTTGATGAGAACAAGGGCCTCTTGCCCACAACCCTGGCTGGTGGTTGTGGGGGGTCTGCAGGCGGTATGCTTATCGGAATCTGGAGGCCCTCTGTGACAATAAGGCACCCCAGATAGTGTCCTTTCTTGTGAATGAGTAAAGGGTACATACTACCCATACTTCTTCACAAGAAAAAATGTACATGGTAAAAAAAAAAAACACAACAGTTTTTGACATGTCTCAACGAAAGAAAATAAAACCTGTTGACCTTTGGCGTGTCCACTCCTGTCACTTCCCTTGCACCGAATGACATCTCTGGGTCCCTGCCACTAATGAACACAAAGGAGGGAGGTCTCCTGGGTAACATCATTGCCCAAATATGAATAGTGGTCCATGATGGCCAGGGCTCACAGAAAGTGGGTTGCATGACTGCACATCGTTCAAACCAGATGAGAGCTGGTGCTGGCTTGGAGACCTGTGAGTCTTCATGGGACAACACTGAAGTGGAGGTGAGAAAAGCTGCTTTAAGATGCCAGAGTCTTGAGAAACTACCGGTGATTCAAGCACACTGCGGACAATTCAGTTTTCTTTTGGTACTATTTTTAATTCTGTTCTGTCATATATACAGCTCAGAGAATTCTCTCTGCTTTTCTAGGAGATGAAGAAAGACGAGTCTATCCAGATGATGTTCCTTGACGCCTACAAACTCATGTTGGATTTTTATGGCATCAAACTGGAAAACAAGAAGACCGGAAAAGTGACCCTAGCAGATAACTGGGAAAACAGATTTAAGAATCTGAACGAGTAAGTGGCAAGGCAGTGGAGCCATCTTTGTGATGTATGTAAAGGTAACATAGAGTGTATTCCTAACCTGCATCCTCTTGATCCTTGTTCACAGCCACAGTCACAACAATCTGCGGATCACACGCATACTGAAGTGTCTGGGGGAGCTGGGGTTTGAACACTATCAGGCTCCCCTGGTGAGGTTCTTCCTGGAGGAAACATTGTGCAATAGCAGACTACAGAATGTAAAAAGAAGTGCTCTGGACTACTTCATGTTCACCGTCAAGAACAAGGTTGAGCGGCAAAAATTAGTGCACTTTGCCTGGGAACATTACCCCCAACAAGAAAAGTTCATCTGGGGTCCTGTGGAGAAGCTCCGAGCCTACCAACCACCCGCAGAAAATGAGTACGGAAGTAAAAACTGTCAGAAAGAAAAGAATGATGAAAGCGATGAAGAAGGCCAAAAAAATGGACAGTTGGACAGCTGCAAGAAAAACTCTGAAGAAGAAGGGTTAAAGTATTCTGACTCTGGTAGTGAAAATGTTGAATGCAAGCGAGACTCTATTAAGCCTGATAAAAAACTCAGTGAGGAGTGCATACCTCTTAAAGAGTCCCATAGGAAATGTCCAGAAGAGGGTTCCAGTAGGTCTTCGGAGGCAGTGTGTAACAACAAAGGTCTGTTCTCCAGTTCAGGTCCTAATATGAACGGAGTGCAGATTCTTACAGAAGATGTGGACAAAAAGTCCAATGAAGAGGAAAGAAATGAGTTTTCTTATGAAGTGTCGCCAAAGCATGACCATAAAGTGCCTTCAGCAGTAGGAAAAGAAAATGAAGGCAAAGTAGAGAGGCAAGTGTCTGGGAATCAACATGAGAATTTCCAGCAAGACAACACACATAAAGAAATTGTTAATACGCCAGTAGGTACCCCGAGGAAACGAAAGAGACAAAACGGGAAAGGAACATCTGATGGAGGTCCACCACAGTCTGATGTCAACTCTGGGCTGCCAAAGGAAGAAGGAGAAGAAGATCGAGTGGATGGAGTTAACGATGAAGTGAAAAAACTTAAATTGAGTGTGAGCAGCCAGATTCTGAAAGAAATCAAAAAATGGCAGACAACTTACCAGGCAACACTGCTGGCAGAGATCCCCAACGGCCTGATGATGGTTGTGGTGTAAACCAAGAAGGAGGGGAATGTAGCCAAACAGAGAATGAGGAAGCCAAAGAGGAACCACCAAAACCTCATGAGCAGTCAAGTTCGGAGGACAATGAAAAAGATAAGCCATCAGCGATGAGCCCTAGTGAAGATCCTAAATAGTTTAAATCTGGTCTCCACTAGGATGGAGCTGACGTGGATTTGGTAGATTGAAAGCCAATGTGAAAACATCTTAAACTGCAGGGGCAGCAAAGTCCCGAGAATAGTTTCAAGGTGGCAAACAGCAAGCAGATTTTGCCAAGAGGCAGGTTAGTCAAAGCTTCTCAAATGTTGACTCAGAACCTTATCGAAGGTCATTCTTTGGCAGAGCAGGGAGAATGAAAACCCCCATCTCCACTAAAGTTCTAAGTCAAAATGGGCTTCTTTAATGGCGGCACTGGAAAAAGGCAGCCTGTAAAGATCTTTCGTAGAGGATCCCAAGCTGTGGAAGATACCAAAGCTTAGGGTCTTTCATTTATTCACGATCCAAGCATCAAGCCTGACATGCGTTCCTGCGGCCTTAACTCCACCACAAGCCGGAAAACCCCAGATGCATTTTTGAATGTAACCGAGAGAAGAGGGAATGACTTCTTTAGAGCTCATCTGTCACTGGCATTAAGTGACTTTTTTCCTCTACACTGGTGCTAGTGGACCTTTTCAGAACCTCTCGTCTTTTTTCCCCCCCGTGCCATAAATGTTTCTCTTTCGCAAAATTGTTTCTCAATTATTTCAAGAAGCTCTTTCTAATTGGATAGTTTTGTGACGTGTTACATCGTCCTTGGCTAAGAATATGGTTTTGTGACGGTCCCTTTTTATCTTTTCTTCTTTTTTTTTTTTCTGAAAAAACTTTACAGCTTGTTTGTGAAATAGATGCCTCAAAACAACCAAGCTTTGGTGTAAAATAGACGGGCTTCTCAGATCTCCTGCTGGTGGGTTAACCACATATCTCTTAGGACTTCAGAGGCAGGTTCTCTTCATTGGAGTTCCCAGGTCTTCCTCTATTCCATGGAGTCTCGCTGACCTTGCTGCATTTCGCAAAAAAATAAAAGGGGGAGAGTGGTGGGACCCCCGCTGTCTGTGGTGTTGACGATACAGATGTGGGTACTTGGGTGCAGAGATGTCTGCTCTGGGCATCCAGGAGAAGTAAATGGGTGATTTGTCCTGCTAGTATTTGTGGAAAAGTGAAGTATTATTTTTGGACAGACTGAACCTTTTAAAGGCTACATCCTCTCAAATCTGGCCTTGTAAGGGTGGACTACAGCAACCAGAGCTACCGTCCTAAAAAGTGTAGAATTTCATAGGTCCTACCCAAATCGGGGAAATGTTTTCATTGCTCGGTTTCAAGACAGCAAGTTAGCAGGCAGGCCCTCCCAGAGTGCCAATGAGAACTCCTTGGGGTAGAAGCCTCATTTCACCTTCCTTTAACGAAAAAAAAAAAAAAAAAAAAAAGGAAATCCTATAAATTTTAAGAATCCTGGTCATAGCAAATCGAGCCATGTTTCTAGCTCTTAGTCTCCACCCAAATGCAAGTGTTTTGTTCTGAGTGGATGTAGCCTTTACATTTTTTTAATTGTTTTTTATGTTTATTGTTTACACTTGAGTTGGACCTCGCCAGTTGACCCTACTATGTTCTTTTCACGCTGTGTCCGGAAAACATGAGGGTTTATTACTGATATATTGTATATTGGACGATTGGTACATACATGAATTTTTCAGGGGGGAGGAAGCGGAGGGGGAAACTTTTTTTTTTTTTTAATTTAAATAAGAAAAGAAAAAAAAATGCAGATATTTGTAAAATAAGTTTAAATATGACTTGTTGAAAGTATGTTTTTGTTTATTTGTTTGTAAACTAAAAAAAAACAGCTAAATGACCCCCTGTAGTCTTTTCTTTATTGACATAGGAGAAACATTGTGCATGCTGTTTTTAGGAAATGTGGAAGACCTGGATCACACCAATGCGTGTTGCGATCAGGGGTGGACTGACCATTCGAGAACTTGAGCACTGCCCGAGGGCCCGGGGTCAGTAGGGGGCCCATGAGATGCCCTTGGTACCTTTTTCATAGGCTTTTTTGGGTGTGGTTTGAGTGTGGGCGAGGACACGGGGCCCAATGATCCCCTATTGCCCGGGGGCCCCACGAGTTGTCTGTCCACCCCTGGTTGCGATTGATGTGTTTTTCCATTGCGTTTTGCTGCGCATTTTGTATTTTTGATACTTTTTTTGTATTGAGTGCGACTTTGATGTGACTTTACACTCTCCGGCACTCAAGTTGCATCAAAGTAGTGCAGGAACCGTTTCAAAGTTGCTGTGACTTTGAAAATGTTCCTGCACTACTTTGATGCGACTTGAGTGCCAGAGAGTGTAAAGTTGTATCGGAGTCGCACTCAACGATTTCCTATTGGCCAAAAACATAATGCACATCAAAAACACAACAATTTGTCTATTGCACCAAAAATGCAAAAAAAAATGCAAAAAAAAGTCCTTTTCCAAAAATGCAGCCATTGAAAAACGTATAAATGTGAACGTGTCCCATAGGAAACCAAGTTAACCCCCCTGGCGGTATTCCCGAGTGTAGCTCGGGGTAAAGTTTCAGCACCACAAGCGGTAACCTTGAGCTACACTCGGGAATACACTGCAGCGCTGCTCCGGGATCTCTTCTTCACTTACCTTGTCCTGCGCTCCCGCGATGTCCCTCCTGCAGTGTCCCCGGCAATGTCCTCCAGCCGATGCCGGCATCTGTCTTCTGGTTCCGTCCCCTGCGAGCGTCGGGACGTACGGGGGACGGAACTGGTGGGAAATTTGAAAATGACATATTGTGACATTCACTAAATACACTAACATCACATAGTATAACATTCCTGTATCAAACCATTTCACATACATTTTGTCCCGAGTGCTTTGTCCGGCGCCCTGCCTGCATTTTTACTGTTCTTTCTGCCTGGAAACTGAGAAACGTCCATGGCGTCCAAAAAGCGTCCCTTTAGGTCAAAAGCGGTTTTAGACCGGCTAGAGAACAGCGATAGTAAATCAGAACCACTTGCAAAATTGAGTGATAATGATTCGTGGGGGAAATTCCTCATCAGACACTGAAAACGATTCTGCGACTTTGCTCAGTGATGTGCGAACTTGGCGCTATATTTCACATTTCAGTGTTTTTGGTTTGATTATATTATTGAATTAAATTTATTATTATTATATTATTATTTTTTATGATTATTTATTAAATTATAATTTATGATTTCGTGTTTCAAATTTTATCATCCCCGGGATGTTTACTAGACTCTTGTTCAGACAGATTTCAGTGAGTTATTCCTAAAAATTACAGACCTACAATAAAAAAAAATACATATTTCCATGCGAAAAAATGTACTGCTTTGAGCACAGAAATATGGACATAATCAGACCGCAGGACTGAATGGACTGAAGTGCGTTTCTGCAAAAGGCACTAAAAAGCGCATAAGTGTGAGCCAGCACATATAGTATACAGTATTTTCTATCAATACTGAGTCTTCAGGTAAACCCAATCATTAAAATGTCAGATTCTTTACTGTGTTCATTTCAAAAGTCATTTCTAATCTTTCTGAATCTGCAGCTTTGATAAAAAAAATTCCTGGCGATCCTGCCATGATAAGGTCCCTGTTCAGGTTCTTCCTTTTATAGGGTGACAACGCTCTGTCCTTGTCTCCTAGTTGTTGTGCTGCGTTGTCACCCTGTTACATGGGTTTCAGATGACGACTATTTCAACGCACATACAGGCATGATGAATCAGGAAACTCACCCTCAGAAATGCCATGTAGCCATCCTGGCATGCATGTAGGTATGAAGTAGCTGCGGATTAGAGGCGAAGGATGAAAAGAAGGCCAAAAAAAAGCATTTTATAAAAAAAATACGTTTATGAAATGCAAAGCTTCAGCAAACTCAATGGAGTTTTCTGCTGGTGACAATAATGGACCATGCCCACGTAATGTGTGTTGGAATAACCTCTACAAAATAGGGCACTAGTTTTTTTTTTTTAATTGAAATGTCAAAATGACATTTCAATCTCATCGATCTATCACACTGTGGTTCAGTGACCAGTGCTGACATCAGGTAGGTTCTGGTGCATCATGTAAACAGTGATTGGGTTTGCATCTGCTTTTGTCCTAGACTCGCGGTTTCCAAACTGTCCCGGGGGCCAGATGCGGCCCTACGCTTTATTCAGCCCTTGGGGCAATATTCCTCCAACCGACCCAAATAATTGGGCATAATTCCTGCCACTGACACCAACCATAGGGCGTGATTTCTCTCACTGACACCAATGACGGGGCACTATTCCTCCAACTGACACCAATTGGACATAATTCCTGCCACTGACACCAACGATGAGACATGATTTCTCCCACTGACACCAACAATGGGGAACTATTCCTCCCACTGACCACAACAATTGGGCACTATTCCTCTCACTGACACCAACAATGGGGCACAATTCCTCCCACTGACACCAACAATTGGGTATAATTACTGACACTAGCAATGGGGCACTATTCCTCCCACTGACCACAACAATTGGGTATAATTACTGACACTAGCAATGGGGCACTATTCCTCCCACTGACACCAATGATGGGGCACTATTCCTCCCACTGACACCAATGATGGGGCACTATTCCTCCCACTGACACCAACGACGGGGCACTATTCCTCCCACTGACACCAACGACAGGGCACTATTTCTACCACTGACACCAACAATAGAGCACTGTTCCTCTGACACCAACAATGGGGTAATGTTCCTCCCATTGACCCAAATGATGGGGCATTGTTTACTCCCACTGTCACACAGATTTTTTTTTTTTTCTACGCTCACTGGTCACAGTCTAGCCCCACCTAAAGTTCAAAAATCAATAAACTGGCCTTTTGATTAAAAAGCTTGGAGACCCTCGTCCTATACCACCCTCAGGTATCTATGACACGGGCGGCCAGGGGACAGTAAAAACAGGCGGTTGAGCCTCAAGTTTTACCGCCCTTTCCTGACAGCACACCTACAGTTCACAATACAACTGGAAGGCTCCATTCACATGCTGCAAGTGCAGCAAATCTTTAGCAGCATGTTGATTGGACAGATGACATTGTCAACCTCAGC